TTTTCCCAGACTTATATTAAAGTTGCCCTTCCATTATCTATGGACAGATTATCCACTTAGCAAGTAAACAGTGCCAGAGACAGAAACCTGGCAGCATCAGGAATGCTGGCACAGCATGGGGCTGAGCAGCTGTTCCTGAAGGAGAAGAATACCTTGGACCCAGGTGCAAAACCCCAGGAGCTATAACTCATCAATGACCATGTGGTTCAGGAAGCAGACATGCTGCTCAGGTTTGGCTGGTGTCTGGGTAGTCCCAGCCTCAATGCTCTAGATATCCAGCAGCTGGATGCACTCTTGGACCTTCAAACAATGCCACGGAAAATGGCCAAACAAAACAAATTGCTGCAGCCTCCAAAGACAGCATCTGGCCACCCAGTCACGTGCACAAGGTGCTGTAGTTCTCTGGTCAGCATCTGGGTGGCCTTTCCAGGGTTTTCTGGTCTGGAAACCATTTTTTTCTTCTTCTTCTTCTTTTTTTCCCTTCCTCTAAACAAAGATGATGACAGCTGGACTGGATGCTTTTAGGGAATCTTCCTTCCTGCTTTATTTTTAGACATGAATTCCATGTTGGTAAATATGGAAAATAATATTGGGATTTTGACCTTGCAGCCCATGGTATCATACTCTGGGTCGGCTCTTCCCCGGCTTGGTGCAGCCCAAGAGCTTCCCTCTGCCAGCCTGAACTTGTCCCAGAGACTCTGTCTCTGGAGTGAAGAAAGAGTGAGATCTCCAGATCCTGTCAAATTTGAGGTGTTTTTGCTGAAACTGCTCAAAAGGGACTAGTTTAATACAGACTGATCTGAAGCGGATTTGCAGGTGTTTTGCTTCTGTCAGAACCAAGCTCTTACTCTGGATATTAACCTCAGATCTGGAATGCAGCTCCTATTTTTGCAGAAGCTTAATTTGTGAACTTAATTTCCGCTAGCCTGACTTTGCAGCTGTCCTGGGACTTGTGTGTACAGAGACAGATATGTTCTGTGGAGGATGGAATTACAGCAGAGGGAATCCCTGTGGCGGATTTGCTAACATTTTACAATTGTTTCCAGAGACGCTTATCCCAGTAAGGCAGAGTTTTACAGCCACTGGATGGCATGCAGGCAGATTCAGGAGATTTAAATTTATTTTTAATGAAAAGGTTTCTCCAACCCATCAGAATCTCTTTTACTTGTATTATAGAAATCCACCCTCCATTTTCATGGGGGAAAACACCCAAATGTTTGGAATTCAGAGAAACAGGAAGAAATTCCAATGCTGCTTTACAGTGAGGTGGCTCACAGACCCAGTGCCTGAGAGAAATTCCCCCCTTAGTGCGTCCCATACGCACGTAATTATGTCTTAAGGTCTGGTCATTAGGGAAGAATGTCAGGCTTCTTTCCTGTCATTTCTTCTCCTTTTCTATCCTCTTTCCC